CCCCAAAACCCCAAAACCCCAAAACCCCGTAAAAAGCATAAAATTTGAACAATAATATAAAATTTTGAATTCTCAATGGTAAGTTGGAATAAAATTCAGCCATATCCTTTTAGAGTAAAGAAGAACTACTTAAGCCAGCAGAAACTAGCAAGACAAGAAAGGGAAGTCTTGGGGAGAAGAAGACCACCAAGGAACCTCAGAGTTTACTTCAAAAGTAAGATACACACCAAGTTTGACACTCTACTCAAGATTTAATTTAAATTTTTGATAGACTTGCAGGTGATAGCCACCGATCACAACACTTGTTTCTCAAATCAAAAATTCCAAAAGCAGGTATAATGATGCTCTCAGCTGTAGGAGATGGTAAAAACACCTCTTTCAGAAGTGCAGGAAACTCAAAAAGTAAATTTGATCCCAAAACTACTGAGGAAAGGCAAAATATTACAGAAAATTTAGCTAAAAACAAGTATAAGCTTATATCATCAATAGGTTAATTTATTTAAAAGCAGCAGGAGATAGCAAATTCGAAAATAAACAAGATAGTAATACCTCGGATGACAACGTTGAAGCGGAGTCTAAATAAAGAATCATACATGTCCTCAGGAATGGGCATCATGTAAGCTTCTATATCACAGCTGATAGTGACGAGGAAAGTAAAGTTTCATCCCCCAAGAAGCCAGTATTTATCATCCATATCTTTAGAATAATGTTCCAATGCTGAACTTGAACTTCTCTACTAATGAAAATGAAAGTGACTTATTAGACCAAAAAGCGAGGAAAGGTTTACTGATGAACAAAGAATCGGTAAGCAATTGATATCTTTAAGCCCCATAAAAGCCTGCTACTAGAAGCTAGGTTTTAAAATAGTTGAAGATACATCCTCTAGGCTTACAAGGTGTATCATTAGGGTACTCATCTGAAGATAACTCAGAGTTAGAAGTACCCTTCTGCTAGCCTGTTGTTAAAATTTTAGAAAATATGGCATCCTCTTGTTTAAATTTATCGTATCTTACAGTACAAAATATCTTGACTGTTTATTAAAATCCAAAATATAGGTATAAAAGAATCGAGAATAGGTAAAGCAAATTTGTAGTCGGACATGCTGATGAGCAAGACTCTGAAGACCTCATGGTTCCTCTAAAGCAAGATAAATTTTCCCCTTCTGCAGTAATATAAATGTCTATTTTTAACTGAATTTTCGTACTTGATAAATTTAACTTTGTTGTCAAAAATATATCTAAAAATCTAACCAATCCAGGATTCTAATCCTGAGTATTCGCAATTTAAACGTTAAAAACTAAGCCAGTACCATACAGTCCCTTCCTAGTGAATATATCAGCTATGTAGCTTATATACCATTAGTCCTGGTTGAAATTTCATCTTTAGATAAGTCAATAGAACAACATATGCATAAAGGCATCCAGCAAAAGAGACAAGCCTCTCCAAGAGCTAGACCAAGAGAGAGCAAGGTCATCTATAAGACATCAGGAACTGGAGTGATGAGGTCTCCTAGAGGAATCTACAAGTCTTTAGGGATCAACAAGCCCAACCAACCTGAATTTCGCAAACCCTCTGAAGGCAATAAGTTTGGGATAACTACTAATATGACCAAGGTTTTCAAAGCTGTCAATGAGGTCAATAAGTCTGACCCTAAAGGTATTTGTTCATGATATTCTGTAGGGTACAAATTTCCCACCTTAAGTCCTAAAATAGTAAGCCTCGGCTTAATTTCTAGATTAAGAGTGATATGGCAACACAATTTCCTGAGATTACTACAGCTCAAAAAGAGACATCTACCAATGAGCCTCCGCTAATAATTACTCAGTTCCTTAAGGAAGCTGGAGGCTATGAGCCCTTGACTAAAATACCTAAACTCAGCACAGAAATCCAAGAACTTACTCAAAGAGTCAGTAAGTTAGAAGAAATGGTTGCTGTCAAAAATGAGGAGTGTAAGATATATTGTCATTAAACCTTAGTAAACACTCGGCTTGAAAGCTGCCTCCAGGAAGCCAGAGACACAACAGTATATTTCTGATAATTTCCATAGAAAATCACAACTATGTGTAATGAAATTAATGCTAAAAATCTACAAAATCAGAATAAACAGCAGGCTTTGACCAACATTTTTAAAAATATCAAATAAGGCAGGAACAAGAATTGGCATGAAGAATATGAAAGCTGCTTATGAGAATAGCTTTACTGACCCAACTAGAGCAATCGAGAAGAAAGTAGAGTATCCTCTAAAATATAGGTCTCTGAAGTCGCATTTAAGATGATCATCAAACAGATCAACAAAGATATTATCTCAATCAGGGACATTCAAGGCAAATCTAACCCTGGATAATCTTTAGAGAAACTATCCAAAACCACAGTGTCGAAGCAAGAATTTGCCACTCTTGAGAGATCATTAGACAAAAATAGAGCAATCTCGATGTATAATGACATGCAAATGTACGTTGACCAGACTCTCTCAAATTTCTACCAAAGAATCACAAGTGACTTAACATGTCTATGCCGGGAGAAAACAATGGGCTATTTCAAGTAACATCTAAAATAACCGATTTAGAGAGTTGCAAGAGCAACAAAGAGACTTATCCAAAAAGGTAGAAAAGTTGTCGGTCTCTCCAAAGCCAATTCCCATCGAAGAGTTCATAGGGAACCAGAGCTTCGATAGGGCCTACTTTGAGGCAGAACCAGTCCCAGATGATATTTCAACTCATCCTCAAACATGTCTAATATAAACCACTCAAGTCAGATGAACCTGCAGAAGATGCTGATCTCAACTGCTGAGGAGAATGAAAATCTTATTAATGAGATAAACGAGCTGAAGAAGGTAAGGAGTCCTCCAATTCCCCCTCAGACACAGTACCTTAAGAGAAGACACCGAGTCTACTCTCCTCCAATTCATAATCCCAGGAGGAGAGTGCGGACCCAGCATAAGAGGAAAACCAGAAATGTGCCTTCAAAGCAGTATTTTGCAACCTTAATTTTAGGAGTAGAAATAACATCTGCAAAAACTCCACTATTGAGCAAGAGAAGTCATCCACTTCCAATATGAACCAAGACTTGATCATTCCTGAATTTGAGCTAGTAGGTAGAGCGAATAATTATTAGGGTGAAAACAGACTTTTTGAGAAAGAAAAGGAGAGGTCGCCCACTCCTACTAACTTCCAAAAGTAATGCGTCTACCACTAGGTGTCTATTTCACTTGGAGCATGATTTATTGGGTATAGGTACATGACAAAGCTAGGAGTCACTTCTGATAGTAAATAAGGATGCTACCATTAATACTAGCTTTAAGTTGAAATAATGATACTATTTCATCATCAGCAACTCAGTCAGCAATGCTGGATGCTGTTCTAGTTAAGAAAAATGTAAGCTAATGTTTTAGCTTTTAGAATGAACCCTTAAACAAGAGCTCAAACATTGAAAATTCTGATATAAATCGTTCCGGAATGTCAGAGAATTTGCCAAACCCTATCAAAAAGCCAAAAACTAGTGTAAGTGTTGGAAATGTTCAGAATTTTCACCCAATATAGTACAACAAAAGTCGAACAAGAAAAGCTGGATTCAGGCCTCTTATGGTAATTCCCGACTCTATTTATACTCCTTTGGTTCAAAATTCGATTCTATAATCTCTCCTGACTTCCAAACAGCTCACATCCTCCAAGAAACCCATAAATACACGAAATTCTTCCCACCATAACCTAACCCAGCACATCACCCCTCAAAATCTTTAAAATTCAACTCCAAGCACTCAAAATGGGGTTTTGGGGTTTTGGGGTTTTGGGG